TCATCATCGGCGGCTGGAAGAACAGCGACGACGTGGACAAGCAGTACCGCAAGGAGGCGTACCGCTACTGCGCCGAGCGCAAGCGCTGGCTGCTGCTGCCGCCCATGCCGCAGCCGCGCTGCCGCGCCACGGCGTGCCACGTGCGCATCCCCTACCGCTTCCTGTACGGCTGCCAGCGGTACCCCATGCCCCAGAACCTGGCGCGGCAGCGGGACCGCATGCAGCAGATGCAGCAGCTGCACCGGCGCACGCTCACCCTGCGCCGCCAGCTGCAGTCCCAGATTGAATGCTGAGGAGCGCTCGCTCTCTCGCTCGCTCGCTCCCCCCTCTCTGTCTCTCTCTCTCTCTCTCGCTCTCCCTCTCCCTGTCCCGGTCCCCCCCCCCCCCCCCCCCCCCCCCGGACAAGCCCCTCCCCCCTCCATCAAGACCCATTCCACGGCCCAGCATCGTCAGCATCTCCCGTCGTTCATCACGCGTCGCAGTACAGTCCAGTTGGATGTGGTCCAGTTGAACTCATCATCATCATCATCATCATCATCATCATCATCATCATCATCCTCCGTCGCTCGGCTCTGACACTGTGTTGTGTTGTGTAAATGACCCCATGACCCCTGACCCCTGACCCGCCCCGGAGGTGTGTGTGCGGGCAGACCGGCGCCGACCTGCTGTTTGTCCGCAGGAGGACGCGCCGATTGTAAACATGTGAATAAGAGTGTTATACAGTCGACCAATGGCCTCTGCCCTCGCGTGTCGGGCGGCTGGCGGGTCGCCAGAGGTTTCTCATATATGTGTACATACATAGTATATATAACCTGTGGATACGTATACATTTGTATGGATATTTTACATTTCTTTATTTCATTTGGGGTGTGCAAAAGAAAGTGTGTGTGTGTGTGTGTGTGTGTGTGTGTGTGTGTGTGTGTGTGTGTGTGTGTGTGTGTGTGTGTGTGTGTGTGTGTGTGTGTGTGTGTGTGTGTGTGTGTGTGTGTGTGTGTGTGTGTTCAAATCCTTTAGGTCCAATCTGTGTGTGTGTGTGTGAATGAAGTCCCATTCCATGGTGACACTGTGACAATCGCATTGTACAAGTTTAAAAGTTTAAACGTCCGTCTTAATATCAAATAGCATCGCCTGAAGTTTTGATATGTTTCAGATCAACGTCGCTCTGTTTTAATATGTTCTGCTTGGATTCAAATAGGGCTGCAACTAAACGATTATTTAATTTATTCACATAGTCAATTAATCTAACGATTACTTTTTTGATTAATCATTTAGTCTAGAAAATGTCATTAATAATAGCAAATGCCGTCACAAGTTATCAGAGTGCAGAGTGATGTCTTAAATTTGCTTGCTTTAGAAAAACTAAAGTATTAATGATATAATGATCCATGAAATTTGAATTGAAGCTTCAAGCAGCACATGTTTGCTATTTGTACGTGATAAATGACCTAAACGATTAATCAGTTAACATTTTGATTTGATTAATGTTCTGTCAATAGACTAATTGATTAATGGAGTATCGTTGCAGCCCTACTGTTCTGCTGCTAGTTTAAACTAAATGGTCTAAATGTCAGTAGAATGGGAACTAAGGCTGTTTAAACTCTGTGGCTCGTATTTATGCTTTTTGGACTACTGTTGCTTCCCTACGAAAGCTTTACGGAGTATGTAAAATAATACTACCTGTTATCTGTGTTGCCTGTGTAATGCGTAACAATCTGTAGAGGGTTTTATCAGGAAGATCTCAAATCACACAAAACAAACAACAAAGGTGTGCAACTTGCATATGTAATCTTTCTGATCCTCCTCATGTTCAGGTTCTCTGAATAATCCCAACATGTTTTGGTAATGTGTCATTCAGCGCATCAATCATTCCTTATTATGCCCCTCGGCAGCCAAGTGCTTGTCCCATTCCTGGAGGTGGAGAAGTGAAAAGCTGTGTGGGTGTATGTTAATATTTTTGCGAACGCTGCAAGATCCTGTTGAATATAATAGTGCACTTTCTGACATCCCATATATGAAATGTCTGTAGAGGCGGTGGGCTTCAGAGCCGCTCTGGTCCCTTGAGACGAGGTGATTGTATTTAATGTTTCCAGCCAATCAGTTGTGATTTCCTTTCACCACACTTTTTTTTGGGCACTTTTCCATGTTAAATGTGTTGTGTAAAATGTTATCGATTTTTATACCAAAATATTTTATTCTGTTCTGTATGTGTTCAGAGATGCTGAAATGCTCTCGTCTCCCCTCCATCCTAACTCCAGAGAACGTTGTCGTGGCGATGAAACATGCAAGTCTTTAATACAGAGTATAACTCTTTTATGAACAGGGGGTGCCATTGCATATCTCTTGCTATAGTGGTACACTATTTATCCTATGTCACCTCTATCCAAGCGTCTTAATACGAAGGTCAGGCAAGGCAGGAATTAATCATTTCCACTTTTTTGGACCAATTTTATGGCAAAACAGAAGAGCTTTACATTTTGCTTTGCATGTGGTAGTTTGACATTTTGTCCTTGCATTTAATGTAAATGCTGATGTCATCACTTGCAAATAAAGTTCTTTTTACAAGTCAAGTGGCTAATGTGTCATGTATTTATATATTATCTAGATTTATATATGGTATATATATAATATACAGTGAATATATAATATATATATATATATATAATGATATAATATACAGTAAATATATATTATATATTATAATATACACTAAATATATAATATATATATTTATATTATGATGTAATACACAGTAAATATATAATAGTATATATATATATTATATATTATTATATTATAATTTACAGTAAATATATTATATATATAATATATAAATATATATTTACAGTAAATATATAAATATAGATTATGGTGTAATATACAGTAAATATGTATATATTATATAATATACAGTAAATATATAACATGTATTATGGTATAATATACAGTTAATATATAGTATTATATATATATATATATATTACATAATATTATAATATACCGTAAATATATAATATAATATATATATTATATAATATACAGTAAATATATAACATATATTATGGTATAATAAACAGTAAATATATATATAATATACAGTAAATATATAATATAATATATATATATATATTATATAATATACAGTAAATATGTAACATATTATGGTATAATAAACAGTAAATATATATATAATAATATACAGTAAATATATAATATAATATATATAAAATACAGTAAATATATAGTATTATATATTATAAAAACAGTTCATATATAGTGTGCAGGGTGCATCCAGGAAGCACTCAGGAGGAGTCTGCATGAATGAGCAGTTGCTCCTCAGTCTCTCCTCAGTCTCTCTCCTCTCCTCAGCTCCTCAGTCTCTCCTCAGCTCCTCAGTCTCTCCTCAGCTCGTCCTCCTCCTCCGGTCCCGACCCACCAGCCTCGTCCTGCGGTCGACGCTGCGGCCATGGTGAGCCTCGCTGCACTTCACTCCAACTCATCTGAAACCACACCACCACCATACGTGTAGCATCGAGGCTAGGCTAGGCTAGGCTAGGCTAGGCTAGCTGGTCTGAGCCGGGATGGTCGGTACTTCTCACCCCGGGACCGGGTCTGCGCAAGATGGCTGCTCCACTGCAACACGGGACGACATTGCTCCGTGTTTCGTCTGGTGTCGTCCCTCCGACGCCATTAGTTTTAACAGCTTGTTGTTGTTTTTACGCCTTTCCACCTGCTTCTAGCAACTGCTAAAAAACTACAACTACCGTGCGGCCGCAGGGACAAATGAAACGCGTTTCATAAAGACGAGTGTCTTTATTATTATTATTGTGTGTGTGTGTGTGTGTGTGTGTGTGTGTGTGTGTGTGTGTGGAGGGGGGTGATACTGTCCTCACACACTGGTTTAACTTTATTTAACTTTATTGTTAAACACTTTATTACATGTTTAACCCAGATCCCAGCCTTGGCCAACGGTTCGGTGTGCATGAGGGACCCCCAGCGGGTCCAGGAGGTCCTCCATGGCATGATGAAAGCCGGCCTGGCCACCATCCAGGTACCCCCCATGTTGGACTCATTCAGATTCAGGTTCAGGGTTGGGGTGTGTGTGTGTGTGTGTGTAGGGGTGGGGGTGACCTTTTTTAATGCTGTCACGTTATGTCATGTGCTGTGTAGGTGATTTCAGACTTCGACATGACGCTGACGAGGTTCGCACACAATGGAAAGCGCTGTCCCACGTCTCACAGTAAGTCCCATTGTTGAGGTGTTGAGGTGATTACACCCCCCCAGACCCGTTGTCCTACTGGCTCACACACACACACACACAGAGGGGGACGTTGACAACGCAATGTGTGTTTTGCAGATATCCTGGATAACAGCCAGCTCATTTCTGATGAATGCAAAATAAAGGTAAGGTGGCCTCTTTATTGTTGTGACTTTTCTGAGGACTTTTCCCCTTATTCCTATTGACGCTGCGTTACTAACGCCATTGAACAACCGAAGAAGGGAATTGCAGCCTGTTTTGTGGGGCCCTGTTATTTCTGCTGCCATGATTTTTCACTTTAATTTGTTTATTTGAACAAATGGTTGTGCCAAAGCTTTCTCATGTATTCTTCCTTGTTCTCCCCCCTCAGCTCAGGGACTTGCTCAACAAATACTACCCCATAGAGATCGACTCTTCCAGAACGGTAGAGGAGAAGCTGCCCCTCATGGTGGAATGGTGTGTATATCTTACATACGTAGCATATCGTATATACGTGACGTATATCTCTTGACCTCATTAGTTACTAGTTAGTCATCAAGTTTTTTTGTGTCCAAGGCGACGGTAGTCCCTGGGAACTTTGCCCAGGGATGTTGAAATGGTAAATGGACCGCATTTATAGAGCGCTTTGTGACCCTGTGGCCACTCGAAGCGCTTTGCAGTTTGTGCCTCACATTCACCCATTCATACACCGACGGCGGTGTCAGCCACCCAAGGCGACAGCCAGCTCGTCGGGAGCAGCGAGGGTTAGGTGTCTTAGCCGGGGATCGAACCAGCGACCTTCCGCTTGCCAGGCGGCGACCCGCTCTCCCTCCTGAGCCCCTGCCTGCCATGCAACCCACCTATCTGCTTATCAAGTCTTTCCAACGCCTTAACTTCCCCAAAATGGTGTTTTTAATGTTTTGTTCTTTTTTTTGTTTTGGCGTCCTCCTCCAGGTGGACGAAGGCACATGAACTTCTAGTGCAGCAGAAGATCAGGAAAGACCAGTTGGCCCTGGCGGTGCAGGAGTCTGACGCCATGCTTCGGTAGGAGTCCCTGCTCAATCTGTCTGTTATTATTATTATGATTATTATTATTATTAAAATGGTGAAATTGCTGCTGCTGCTGGTTGAGGTGTGAGGCGTTGGGCTCCAGTGATGATGGCTTGGTGGTTGAGGTACGAGGTGATGATGGCTTGGTGGTTGAGGTACGAGGTGATGATGGCTTGGTGGTTGAGGTACGAGGTGATGATGGCTTGGTGGTTGAGGTACGAGGTGATGATGGCTTGGTGGTTGAGGTACGAGGTGATGATGGCTTGGTGGTTGAGGTACGAGGTGATGATGGCTTGGTGGTTGAGGTACGAGGTGATGATGGCTTGGTGGTTGAGGTACGAGGTGATGATGGCTTGGTGGTTGAGGTACGAGGA